CAGCAACAGGCACCGCCTCAGCAGCAACAAGCACAACAGATGATGCAAGCAAATCAGCAGTCGCAGCAGTATTCTTCTGCTCCGGCGAGTTCCGATGAGATTCGGTCTCTTTGGATCGGAGACTTGCAGTATTGGATGGATGAAACATATGTTACTAATTGCTTCTACAACACGGGAGAGGTACTACTGAGACTTTTCCCCAATGAGCTCTTTACGTATGTATTGGAAAGTTGGAATTACGATTCATGTTGTTTCTAATGCTTTGTTCAGGTTCTCACCGTGAAGATTATTAGAAACAAGCAAACTGGACAGCCTGAGGGCTATGGTTTTATTGAGTTCAGGAGTCGTGCTGGTGCAGAAAATGCTTTACAGACATACAATGGAACACTGATGCCATCTACTGAGCAGAATTTTCGGCTTAACTGGGCTACTCTCGGTGCTGGTGAGAGACGCAATGATGACACTCCTGACTACACAATCTTTGTTGGAGATCTTGCTGCTGATGTTTCGGATTACATATTGCAAGAAACGTTCAAAACTGTTTACCCATCAGTCAAGGGAGCGAAAGTTGTCACTGATAGAACTACTGGACGTTCTAAAGGATATGGTTTTGTTAGATTTGGAGAGGAGAGTGAGCAAGTTCGTGCAATGTCTGAAATGAATGGTGTTTTATGTTCATCCAGGCCAATGCGTATTGGCCCTGCAGCTACCAAGAGTGGTGGTGGTGGTGGTGGTGGTGCAGGTGGAGGAGGTGGTGGTGGTGGTGGTATGCAGAAAGGTACGTTCTCGAATGCTTTAGAGTTTTTATTCCTGTGTAACTACCCTCAAACGATTGATTTTGTTGAAATGGATTACTGTATGCTATCTTATTTGTTTCTTTTGATGCTTTTTTAGATAGAATTTGGTCTACTCTTTTATTTCTATAATCAGTGGCTCTTAGATAGCCTTTGTCACTCATGCCTTGGACACCAGGAGTTCATATCTTTTCTTTCCAGTAGTTGAATTTGTGAACCTGGGATCATTTAATTATGTAAAAGACACACAAAACTTATAAAAGCTCATGTTGTCTCAAAAGCAGGACCCAGAGAGGCTCTCATTTTTGGGTGCCTGGAACTGATTTCAGCCGAAATGATTCCACTTTATTGCAGTGGCCTTGTTTAGGTCAGTGGTTTTGTTTATGTAAGGAGTTTCTTTCCTTATTACAGTTCCTTTTTTTTTTTTTCTAAATTCACCTTACTATTCATTTCCATTCCCTTTAGTTTCCGAGTTCCTTCTGTAATTATTTACCAGTCTTAAGTAAATTGCTTTACTTCTTTCGTAGTTACATTCTTTTTTCAAGTTTCTTTTCTTCATATCATGTCATCTTTGCTATTTGTTCCAGTCTTTTTTCGTCTTTATATTCCTGCCATATTCAGTCTTTCAACATTCAATTATCCTCTTTGAGTATTGGGTTTTCTTTCTTTTTTGCTACTGTGTTAACCATGTGTTAGGGTTTGGACACGTGTTGTCAGTTATTTTTTCTTGTTTCAAGACAGTAGACCACATTTATATATCGAATAAATTTGATTCTTTTATCTATCCCTAATCTTGTTATGTGTTTTTTTTTCTTACATTTTACATTAGTACGTTTTTTTTTTAATAATTTGTATTCCCCTTCAAGACTCGTGGTTCTTTTAGTATTTGTATTTGTATAGTTCCAACAGAAGCTGGATTGCAGGTATTGCTGTTATTGGCCAATTTTTTAGGCACAACATCTGGAATTCTTGATTGTTGATTTGGATAAGATGTTTCTTTATTTATTTATTTTGCTAAATATTTTGATACATGCAGCCCCTTACCAAAGTGCTCAAGGAAGTCAGGGAGAGAGTGACCCAAACAACACAACTGTGGGTATTTTTGTCTTTTTTTTTGTAGTTCCTTTCATTCTGTGCTAGATGTTTAAGAATTGACAATGATGAGTGCAGATATTTGTTGGTGGTTTGGATCCAAGTGTTTCTGATGAAACCCTAAAGGGGGTGTTTGGTCAATTTGGTGAACTAATTCATGTCAAGATTCCCGTAGGCAAGCGATGTGGATTTGTTCAGTTTGCCAACAGGTATCAACATGAAGCCCCTCGAAAGTTAATTTTTTTTTTTGTTTCCATATTTACCCTTGTTTGGTATGTTTCAGAGGATGTGCAGAGCAAGCTTTATCCATTCTAAATGGAACTGAGTTAGGCGGCCAAAACATCCGGCTTTCTTGGGGTCGTAGTCCTTCAAGCAAACAGGGGCAATCGGAGCAGCCACAGTATGGTGGTGGAGGTGGCGGTGGTGGTGCTTATTATGGATATGCACAAGGGTATGAGGCGTATGGATATGCTCCTCCACCTCAAGATCCAAATGCTTATTATGGAGTCTATGCAGGGGCTGCAGGGTATGGCGGTTACCAACAACCACAGCAGGTAGTATACATTCTCGTGTAGGCTCTTTTGTTACCTTATAAGGGCATTTATGTCTTTTTACACAAACAAGTGATCGAGAACAAGTATATATTTCATCTTGTTCCATATTTTCGGGTGGGACAAAAAAACATCTGTCACTTTGTAACAAGGCTCATTGTTTTGAATGATTATGGAGAATTTTGTTTGTTGAAATGTAAGGGTAAAAAATGGTCATTTGGTCTTCTTTCATAAGAGTTGACTTGGATATGTTTGTGTGTTTTTGCAGTGATGATTGATGGACATTGAAGGGGTTGTTATATGAAGTTGGTCTGGTCTGGTCTGTACTATATATGGTGCGTGGAGTTTGATATATGAGCCCAAGAGAAACACAAACATCTCCTATTGTGGATGTTGATGTTACTTTTTTTTTTTTATCCTTTTCTTCTTCTTGATATTATGTTTGCTGATCTAACTGTGGGTTTGAGATTGTTAGAGATGTTTGTTAAGAATGTTGGATTGTTGCTGTAAGCCTAGTTTTTTTTTTTTTTTTTTTTTTTTCAAGGTGTTTTTTTCCTTAAAAAAGTGTGTTTTTTGATGTTTGCATAAAATCGTGCTACAAATGGCTTAAAATATCATCGGAATATACAAAAGCTAAAACACATACGTGATACCTTCTTATTTGACCAATTGAATTCCTTTTATCGACAATTTTGTCATTTTTGTCGTAATACTAAATGGGTATGATAATCCCTTTTATTGGTATTTGTTCAAACTGGAAAGGTTTTAAGGTGCAATATCTTGGATCAAACAGTTTGTTTTGTTTAGTGACACTTGTTTATAGGCATTCTATAAGCAGTTCTACGGTTCAATATAACAATTGTGGAATGATTATATTTTTTCATAAAACAACATAAGAGTATATAAATATACTTTGAAAAAGAAGAGATAAAAATGACTACATCAAAGATTAGATATATAGGTTTTACGGCATTTTTCCCTCTTCACCATAATGACCTATATGTCCTGAATGGAGCATTTCGGTTTAAAGACAAGTGTAAAGTGGGTTTACATTTCTTTTCAACCGATCTCACATAAAAATTCCTCTCGACTCATTTCCTGCAAATGGTTAGATTCATTGTGTTTTCTGCTCTTATATCATAATGTACTTCGTACAATGACTACCGATCCATGAGTATGTTACACTTGATCCCAACTTTATCTGAAAAGATTCTTTATCACTTTATATCATGGCCAAAAGTTTTTTAGTATCATTTTTTGGTAGTAAAGTTGGTACCCATCGGCAACAATATAGTTGTATAACATGACCTTCATTTGTTTTGTGTATTGAAATCTCATCTCTGGAATAGGGTTATGTTTTTCAGGAGTAATGACTCATTTAAAATGGAATGAACTTGGCATGCAAGGTCAGCCTCACCTTCCACTTCTATGTTGCCCTCATCATCATCAATATTTTTTTTCCTCTACTACTTTTTAGGGGTTGTTCATCATCACCAATTTACTCAAGAAATCATCATGACCTATCTTGTTCGTACTACTAATTTCATCTTTCAGTTCAACATCAATTTCCCACTTGTCCGATAAGAACTCATCATGCATGCCACCTTCAATTACTGATACATGTTCATATGGACTAAAAGCTCACCAAAGTTGCCTACATAAATGGATATTCTCTTACCAATAACGTACATTTGGGACATGGTAGTATGGCTTTTCACAAGGTTCTTGCATGAAATGTTTGAGGAATGTTTTACTCACTCACTAAAATCCACACCAGCAAAATCGTGGTATGTCAATAAAATTTGTTTGCCATCAGAATATGTGAAGGGATAACGTACAAACACTCATCGAAAGTTAAGATCGACTTTCAGATACACAACATCTGGATTTACATTCACCATTCTACCTAATCTACATAGAAACTATTTTCAATTACAAACATGTATACTCAAGCAACTAAATTTCGAAGAAGGGTTGGACACTTACAATTACCGAGAACTCCCAAAAGCCTGAATTATGAATTTCTTTGTTGTATGAGGATATGAGAGCGTTGTCAATGCCTTGGGATTGTATTTAAGTAGCATTTATTTACAATTTCTTTTACACATGAATTAACACACATGGCCAGGAAAATGGTAAAACTTACAAATAATATATTCTCATAACCATTGTAACCGGATAAATGCTTCAAGTTTGTGATAAGGTCATTTGATACGCATGTCAAAAGAACACCATCCCCACCTCCACATTGATCGTCAAATTGTGGTGCAGACCATGAACCACCACACCCAATAATCTTTTTTTTTTCTCTAGTTTTTTATTAATTAAAAAACAAATATTTTTATTAAATAATTAAAAACACAAGAAGTATATAACAATATGAAGTGGTGAGTATTTTATAATGGTATGGTTTAAATATGATGATGATATTTCGTTGAGATGACAACACTTTTGATTTGGTGGTATGATGGGTATACCCCACGACCTAATGGCTTTTTTGACACGCTTTTTGAGACGTTGAGAATCCACGATAAAAGAAGAACAAACAAAAAAATCATTAACCCTAAAAAGTAAAATGACAAAAGCAGCTGCCGTTTCTATAAAATGTTACAGTTACAAATGACATCCCAAAAAACAACATAACCTATCATCAACTTAAACCTTACTTTCTCACTTCAATTAAAGACGTACAAAAATGGGACATAAACAGGTCTTAACAACTCATGATGAGTGCATAGAGCTCAACAACTTAAGCGCAAGCTCCTCTTGTTCACGCAACGATATCGCATCTGTCTTCGATGCCACCTCATCTTTCCTTGCCACATCATCATCATCACCATCGCTATCAAAGTACACTTTTGATTTTTTAAGGTTGCGCGTGTCTTTATCGGACCCAGAAAAGCCGTCATCGTCTCCGTCCACGTCATCATCATTATCTCTTGCCCTTTTATGTTTTTGCTTTTCCTTTAGTCTCTTTTCTTTACGTCTTTGGCGATCCAAAATCTTGTCCTCCTTGTCTCGTGAGATCATATCTAGTTTCATCTCTGCATACCTCTTCAATACTACAATGCAAAACAACAAACATGTTACATGTCATGTAACAACCCCATTTAAATAACAATCTACTTTCACATGTCATTTTTTGTTTATTATAAGCATCCTACTTTCATTTCTTCCTATCACAACTTTGTAAGCTAAAAAATTCACTGCTAAAATTGGGTGGATTCTTCAAAGCATGTAACATCCAGATAAGAGATGCTAAAAGTTGGGTAGAATTTTCAAAGCCTAAAGTACATATAAGAAATAAAAGTACAAAGCTATGATTATTTCTTACATTTACCCCTTTTGTTTTAAGAAAAAAGTGTGGATTACCTTTATCTTTATCAAGAAGTGCTGAGTCTGCATTCATGGCAGCTAATCTTGCAAGAGGTGGCAATGTGTTCCCTTCTTCATCAAATACAACTCGTGTCCCCACTGGTCGATGGACATTAATCTTCAACTTCTTTTTCTTAAGAACCCTAGTTGTAGGCCTACAAACAATATGTCAAATTTATATTTTATCACCAATTAAATCTCAAAAATTACTTTTTAACCATAAAAATAGATATAACAAGAGTAAATCACATTTGACTTTTGCAATTTTGGTCCTCATTTGAGGTTCTTGCAACAATTTTGGTCCTTGTTCCAAGTGAAAGAATCATTCTTGGTCCTTAAGTATATTAATCTTTGCATTTTAGCCACCAAAAATAGTCAATTTCTTGGAAAGGGGACTAAAACGTTACAAAAAACTCATATAAGGACCAAACTGCAAGAAAACTTTTTGTGACCAACATTGCATAAAATCAGCTAATCTCAGGGACCAAAAATGAAATTTACTCAAAAAAACAAATAAGAAAGTAAGGATACATATTACATACAACATATTTTCAATGGCCTTCAAGTCCTCATCGTTTTCCGTTTCCTTTCTCTGAAGTAAATCAAGTGTCTCTTCATCTTCTTCAGATTCCTCAAGTAAATTGTTACTTTCCTTTTGACTAGAAATCTTTATCAAATCTTTTTGCACGGGCACTTCGGGCAGCTTCTTTTTGTCTATATTCTTACGGTCAAGGTAACGGAGTTGTGGGGTCATTGGGAGACCTAATGAGGCTGAGTAGTCATCAATGGGAAGCTTTGTAACATCAAAAACTTGTTTATCTTTTTGTTTGTAAATTGATTTCACATAAGTTTTGAAGGCTCTTTGAGCTAAAGGCTGTAGATCCGGGTACTTTGCTAGTAATGCAGCCAATAAACCAGAAACTGATTGTAACCGTTTTGTGTTTGCCTGAAAATTGCAACAAAATGTTCAGATGCCAACACATGATGACAAATAGCAGAGTAAACTGCAGAAAATAGCAATGTACTTTGCTTCTCTTTACTAATATGAGCAATGTGCTTTATTCTTTTACACATTTTGTTTACCTATAGTAGCAATGTACTTGCATTTCTTTACACATAAATACTAATGTACTTATAACTCCATTACAATAGTAGCATACTTGCAAATCAATGTAAAAATGAAAGTATGTTGTTATTATGAGTGAAAATACGTAAGTATGTGTTGTTATAGTAAAAAATAAAGCAAGAGTATAAAGTATGTTGCTATTCTATGCAAATAGCTTAAGAAAAGCAAGGGGGAAATGATGCTACCTTGTCAACTTGAACAGGTATTTTCTTCTCTTGCAATCGATCAAGCATTTTCATTTCTGAAGGCAAAAGAAATAAGACTGACCGGCCTGCAGAATCATATCGGGCAGTCCGACCGACTCTATGTATGTAACCCGCCACGTCATCAGGGCAATCCACCTAAAAAAACAAAACAAAATCATAATTAGTCCTTGTTTCTTCTTTCCCCATTAAGTCTTGTCAAACTTTTGAAATTTCCTTAACTTAATGGGGAGGCCTCATTTCCCTAACTTTCTGTATTAAGTAAAAAAAGAAACACTCATATATGTAGCTTACTGGATTAAGTCATGTCTCCATTAAGTATAAAAAATGTTACCTGAACAACCCAATCAACACCTTTGTTGAAATCTAGACCTCTTGAAGAGACATCAGTTGAAAAAAGAACTGATCTTTGTTCAACAAATTGTTGCAATATAAATGTCCGTTTTATTTGTTTCATCCTTCCATGTAGGCACTTTAGAGGAATCCCAGGACGCAGTTTCTTGAATGCTTCATATACAAACCTTACCTATTAAAAATGGGTTTCAAATTTAATACATTAAAGAAACAGAAAAAAGGCCTAATAAAACCTATTAGAATGTTTGGTTTGGTTGTCATACAATTAGAATTAGCATTTCTGATTATTTAACAAAGTTGAAAGTAACCCATTACCCATTTTGCTACCTTGTAAAGACTATGTGAGAATGTTATTTCAACCATTTTGTTAATTTTCATGATTTTGGTTCAGGTACAATTTATTTTCTAATGACAACTAGAAAATACATTCTTTTATTATAACTTTGTTTGGGTTGGATGAGCTTTGTTCTGTTTAATTTTTATTTTTGCAAATAAAAATTTCATAAAGTATAACTAAAAATTCTAAACAGTACAGTTAAACTTAAAACTATAGATAGTATTTATAGATAATATAAAAAATTCATTCAATTCCTACATTCTAACTGAACATGATAATGGAATTCATTATATTCAAATAGAACATAAAAAAAGAAGTAACCTGCTTGCAGCTGGAAAGAAAAACAAGAATCCTTGAATTCAGATGAGCCTTTATAAAACTCCATAACATGTCTAGCTTTTGATCAAGAGGAACAAGCATGACTTTTTGCTGTAGTCTACTTGGAGTAGCAGCTATGGCTTCTTCATCAACAGCAACATATTCAGGATCCTTTAAACTGAGTCGTGCAAGATCCTTAACTGATTTTGTTTGTGTTGCAGAAAAAAGTAAAGTCTGTCTGTGTTTTGGCAGTTGTGAAATTATAGCATTTACTTCTTTTTTAAATCCCGCATCCAAAATACGTTCCGCTTCATCAAGAACCAAAACCTGTTAACTAGCAATGAATCATTGAAACACACCCAAATCAGTGAACTTTCCATAAGAACAAGAAAAAGAAAACAAAATGGAAAATTGGATTTTGAATTTTGACCTGTAGTTGTGAACAATCAAAATTTGGAGTTGTGTCCATGTGTTTGAGAAGCCTGCCAGGTGTACAAATCAATATATTCATTCGATTAACGCAATCTTTCTCTTCATCATATTCATTACCACCAATTAAAAGGCCAGCACTAAATCCATGGTGTTTGCCAACTGATTTTAGTACACCAAAAATCTGGTCTGCTAGCTCTCTAGTGGGAGACAGGATAATGCTACCTACTCCATCCTCTAGACCCCATCTTGCTTTATACAACTTCTCCAAAACCTGACAAATAGTAAGTTTTGAATCATAAACATAATGTAAGATGATAAATGGTTGAAAGCAAACTAGATTAAGAGACAATGTTGGGATTTACATTTTCTTTTTCATATAATTGCAGACAAAATACAACTTCCAGCTTGACCACAAACGATTAATGGTAAATAACTTACAACAAACGCATGAACTTCACGCCTTCAAGATTCATATGGTTTTAAAGACAGCTTAAACTTCAGGAAACTAAA